TTGGGGGGCGGCGGGCGGCGCGCGGCGAGGTCTCGCCCGTCCCTCCCTCGGAGCTCACGAACACAGAGAGGTCCACTCCGTGAGCATGCTGTGAGATGCGTTCATCGGACAGTTGAAAGGGAACGCGATCAAGTATTGAGACTACGGGTGAGTGAAAAACGTCCTTTTATCCTGACTCGCGCGCCTTCCTTCGTTTTTAGGGCTGCGGCGCCCCACCCACCAAACCCACACGTCGTCGCCGCGAGCGCGACACGCGAGCGACACCGCGCTCGAGAGTCGTCGTCGGACGCGCGTCGAGCGAGGCGCGTCGCGTCGCGTCGCGTCGGCGGGCGGCGCGGAGAGAGAGACGAGGAGGAGGAGAAGGGCGTCGCGCGTCGAATCGATACGGAGACGCGCGGAATAGTTAAAAAACCATCATGCGATCGCGTCTTCGATCGCTCCTCGAGCTGCTGCCGCGCGTCGTCGCGCCGCCGTCCGCGCGCCTCCCCGCGAATGCGATCTGGGGGGAAAAGAACGCGAACGCTCTGCTGATCCACGCGCGCGGGAAAAAGACGAAGAAGCAGTCGAGCTCGAAAGGAGGGAGCCAAGGGAGCTCGAAAGGGAGGAGCGGCATGGCCGGCGCGGTCGCGAACCCGGCGATGAAAGCCACCGTCGATAAACACTTCGACCTCTTCATGCGATCGTACGCGCCCGCGGAGATCGAGAAAGAAACGCTCACCGCGGAGCAGCTGGAGGAGTACGAGGCGAGGGCGAAGGAGTACAGTAAAATGAAGATGGCGCAGCACCGCGCGTGGCAGAAGGACATCGCGGGGAAGATCCGGCACAAGCTCGTCGCGATCAAATCGCTGCCGGAGGGATTCATCCGCGACGCCGCCGCCGCGCCGGACTACTCGTCGTTTTCGATGAAGCGCACGCGCCCGTCGCTGACGCCGGCGATCCCGGGGTTTTACGAGGCGAAGCAGGAGAAGGCGGAGAAGGTGGTGAGGGAGTCGGGGGGGGTGCTGGGGGGGGTGCCGGGGATGGAGAGGAGGCGACGATAGATGAGAGCGGCGAGAAACGCCGGGCAAAGTCCTTAAGGATCGGCGTTCACCACGCGAACGCGATCGTATGGGGACCAGTGTACAGAAGCGACGAATCATCGAATCATCACGGATGAATGAGATGAGAGTCGTTCCGTTCCGTTCCGTAAATCATCGTGTCGGTTGCAATGAACGCATCGCGCTACTAGTAGCGTCGTAGTCATCACTCCTCGAATGTCGTCGTCGTCATTCGTCTCGCTCGTCCTTCAGCGCCGCGAGCAACCCCCCGAGCTCCTTCGCGGCGTCCCACAGCCGCGCCCTCCGCGTCTCGTCGCTCGCTTCCTCGCACCATCGCAGCACCGTGCGCATCGTCCGCCACCGCCGCAGCCGGAAGTGCGTCCGAATCGCGTCGTTCACTCCGCGTCTGGGTCGCCGCAAGTGCGCGACCATCGCGTGCCTCGCCGTGTTCAGCCGCACGTCCTCGTCGTACTCCTTGCTCTTATTCACGCCCTCCGGCGTCCCTCGGATCCCGTCGAACCCGGGCTCGTTATACATCGGGTCCTCGCACATGATCAGCCCTTGCACGCTGATGAGGGGGGTACAGTACGTCGAGGGTCCGAGGGTCGAGGCGACGTCGGGGTGGAGTCGAAAGGCGCGTCAGGGGTGGAGTTGAAAGGCGTCGAGATCGGGCGTGCGTTGAAACCGGGATGGGTGTGGGCGGAGAGATACTGTACGCCGGGAAGAATATTTGTCAGTCCTCGAGGAAAGGCGCGCGCCGCGCGAACGGTACGAGGACCAATAGTGTGATGCTCGAACGCGCCTGACCAACACTTGCGACAGCGACGACCGCTCCGGGTCCCACTTTTCCTCCGCGGAGCCGCCGTGCCACGTCCCCAACAGCGACAGGCACACCTTCCCGTCCGCGTACAGGTTCGGGTTGAACCGCGCGCGACCGCCGCCGGTCGTGTCGAGGTTCACCAGAGGCGCGACCGCGGGGTAGTTCGCCGGGAAGTAGACGTCAAAGACGAAGCATCCGCCGTCGTACGGCGTGCCGTCGGCGCCGACGACGACGGCGCGCATGCGGTCGAGGCGGTCGACGTCGTGTCGAACGAAGATGGACCCGGTGAGCTCTCGCGGCAGCGCGCCGGGCTCGGACAGCGACGCGACCTCGCGCGCGAGGCGCTTCTGTTTCTTCTTCGAACCGCCATTGTCTGACGACGTGTCTGATGACATTTTGAGGTACGGCGTGAAAAAGTCAGACATGGGCGCGCCGCCGTCGCTCTCCGCGAACGACGGCAGCGTCTCTTCCGATTTGTACGCCCTCGAGACTTCGTCGTCGGGGGGCTCCGGGCCGAGCGCGGCCACGAGCGCCGCCGCTTCTTCCGCGTTGAATCCGCGCGAAGAAGAAGAAGAAGAAGGAGAGGACACTCCGGAAGGTTTCGACGACGTGCCGATGCCGTCGGGCGCCGTGATGGGAGAATGTCCGACGTGTCCGACATCGTGTCCGCCAAAACGACCGCCGCCGCGAATCGCCGCGACGCCGTCGATCACCATCCGCAGCGTCGGCGGCAACACCGCCGCGCCGAACGTCTTGCGGACCAACAGCTCGCGCGCCTTCTCCAGCGTCCTCGCGTCGTAGTCGTCCTCCCTCGCGAGCGCGCCCACAAACCCTCCAACACTGGTCCCTCTCGACCCCGCGACGCCGTGCAGGCGCGCGGTGAACTCGACGATGGCGAGTATTAATTTCTTCGGATGAAAGCCGTACTTTTTCGGATCCCGCACGACCAACCCGGCGGCGCCCTTCTCGCCGAGCAACACCTCCAGAAAGTGCACCACCGCGTACGCAGCCTTCCCCGCGACCGCCGCGTTGCTCACGAACGCGGGCGCGACGTCCGCGCTGCCGCCCATGAGGTTCAACAGCGCGAGCGTCTGCGTCGCGTGTCGAAGGAACCCGCGCGCGGTGCGCTCTTGCGACGCGAGAAATCGTTCGCGCTCTTCTCGCTCTCTCGCCGGCAGCGACGCCCACAGGTCATCAGTCGGCGCGCCGTCCGCCTCGCTTCGGCCGTGGTCGCCGCCGTACCGCGTCTTTTGCATGTCGCTCACGCTCCCCAGGCGATCTAACGAGTCCTGGAGGACGTACATGAGATCGCCGAGCATGCACGACGCGAACTCCTCGAAGAGACCGGGGCCGCCTGTTCCGCCTGCACCGCCGTCGCCGTCGCGCGCTTCTTCTTCCTCTCTCCCGAGCTTCGCGACCGAGTCGACGCACGCGTCGATCCGCCACAGCTCGCCGATCAACCGCGCGATGACGTCGCGCGTGTGAAACTTATCGAACCGGTCGCGGTCGACGTCCAGACCCTCTACGGCGTCCATGGCGACGTACGCGCGTATCAATGCCGGGCACAACGACGCGCGCGTCTCCGCGGATCCCAGCACGCTCGAGACTAAGGGCGATTCCATACAAAAATAGTTCACCGGTCAGTTATCATAAGAGGGGACGCGATCAAGTGTTGAAACCGAGCGTTGGGTGAAACACGTTTGTATAGAACGCACCTAAGAGCTCGTGCGTCGCGCTGCCGCGGACGCCGAGCGTGGACGCGGACGCGACGCGCCCGCCCTCGCCTATGATGATGTGCTGCAGCATATCGACGAGCGACGCGCGCGTCGTCGGGTGCGTCACGAGGTGCGGTTTGGAGAGAAGCGACACCGCGCACCGAGCGAGCGCGGACACCGTCAGCGACGACGACGACGACGACGACGAATTCGGGGTCGTCGGCGACGTCGGCGTAGTCTTCGTTACTACCCCGCCAACAGGGCTCGTGGGGTCGCCCGCGCTTCCGCCTCCGTCCAGAAGCAGCTCCGCCTTGCCGTGCCGCAGCACGAAACAGACCCAGTCGCACGTCGCGGTGAGGAACGTCTCCGGGACGACGTCGAAGGCGGCTTCAGCCTCCGCGGGCGCGAGCGACGCCAGCCGCTCGAGCCACACGCACGTGAGCAGCGCGAAGCGGCACGCGTCCCCGGCGAGGTCGGGGTCTAGCAGCGCCGCGACGCCGCAGTCGCCGTGCGCGTTGAGGTCGACGTCCGCGGCGACGACGGCGGAGACGTCAAGGGGTCCTGACGCGGCGGATGAAGCGGCGTCGGCGTTCCCGCCGTGCTGCGTCGCCTTGCCGACGGCGCGATCGCGGAGGACGCCGCTCGCTTCTTCGAACCTCCGAACGACGGGAAGAAGCGCGGACTGGAACGCCGCGTGCGCGACGAAGAAGGTCTCCGCGACGAACGACACCGAGGATGACGCGCCCTCGCCGCTTACGCCTTTTCCTTTTCCTTCTTCGCCGAAAGCTCCTTCGTCGTCGTCGTCGTCGTCCCCTCTCGGTTTCCTCGTCAGCGACGGCGCCGCGTCGCGCCAATCGAACCGCCAGTTCTTTCGCAGCGGGCTCACGTCCATCAACCGCGCGCCGATGAGCCGGTCCGCGCCGTCCGCGACCGGCCGCGCGAACCGAAGCGCGATCGCGGCGAGCCCCACGAGCCAGTCGTCGTCGCACGCGCGCGAATCCGCGAACGCGCCGCCGCGATGCGTCGCGTTATCTTCTTTCCTCTTTTTATACTCCCCCGCTTCGATCGCCGCCGCGGACATCCACGCCAACACCGTCTCCATGTGCGGCCCTTTCTGCTTCACGACGCGGAGCAACGCGCCGTGCGCGGCGTCGCGCGTCGTCTTCGCGCCGCGCTGCGTGATCCACCCGAGCTTCTCTCGATCCCCGGGGGGACATTTCGGGTACCTCGGAAGCGTCGTCCACAGCGATGGCGCGTCTCTGAGGGTCGTTGCCCATACGAGCGAATGTGGGGGTGGAGTTGAAAGGCGTCAGAAGCGGAGTTGAAAGGCGTCGAGGTGTGTCGGGATTGAAAGCGAGGGGTGGGCGGAGAGATGCGCCGGGCAAAGTCTGGTCCTTAAGGAACGGCGTTCACCACGCGAACGGGGTCGTATGGTGACCAGTGAAGGTAGAACGCGCCTAGCGTTGACCAGCTTGGAACTTCGGCCGTCGAGAAGCGTCGCGAGCACGCCGCGACCCATCGCCGGCCCGAGCAGCGCGCACGTCGCGACGGCCTTCGCTCCGAGCGTGCCTCGAACGACGCCGTCGGCGCCGGGGACGTCGCGCAAGATGGTGACGTCGTTCGCGTCCAACTCGGCGCGTAAAACTGAATTAATTTTTGAAAGGGGAAGCGAAGAAGGCGAAGCCGGGGCGGGCGGGGTGAACGGGGTGAACGACGCGTCGGTCAGTCGAGGATTGAAACCGAGGGGTGGGCGGAGAGACAGGCCTGGAAAAATCCTTAAGGATCGGCGTCCACCTCGCGAACGGGGTCGTATGGGACGCAGTCGGGCACCGCACCTTTCGAGACGGCCCGCGCGCACCGCGGGGATCTCGTGAGCGCGTCGATCGCCCGCGCGGCGCTCTCGGACGCGTCCACGTCGTCCAGCGCCGCGTCGCCCATCCCTTTGAACGCCTGTCTCATCGTGTCCTCCCACGCGCTCGATCGCGCCGGGGTGTCGATTTGATCGAGGACGTCTTCGATCAACGCGGGCGCGACGAACCCGCGCGCGCACGCGTCGGCGAACTCCCGCCGGCTGCGCCCGCCTTCGAAGTACAAGTCGTCGCCGTCGTCCTCGAGGAGCGTCAGGAGGTGCTTCGCGATCGATTTTCGAAGCGACGTCAGGAGTGGCAGCATCGTGGTGGTCGGTAAAGCCGCGGTATCAGCAGTTACCGCGGCGTCTGACGCCGCCGCCGCCGCCGCCGCCGCCGCCGCCTCGACGCACGCGCCGTGATGACACGCGCCGATGACTTCGCACGCGCTGCTCGACGCCTTCGAAACCGAACCCCCGAGGGGGGACGAGAGACGCGAGGGCGAGAACCGCGTGCGCGTCAACGCGTCGACCATCTTCCGCGCGACGCGGACGCCGCCCTCGCGCTGCGAGAACGAGATCTGTATCGGCGCTCCGGAAAACGACGACGACGACGACGACGACGACGACTCGACGCCCGGGGCGACGACCGGCGCGCGCATCACACGCGAGAGCACCTCGCACGCCGTGGACGCGTCGGGTACCGCGACCGCCGCGTCGCCGTCGCCTTCTTCGCCGTCGCGGCGCCACCATTCGTCCAACGCGGCGCGCGCCTCCGCCGACGGCGGCGGCGGCGCCGCCACCGCGGACGCTCTCTTCTTCCCGCCGCGCGCGGCGGCCGCGCGAGGTCGTCGCGTCGTCGGTTGGGATGGCGCCGCCGCGGACGCGGACGCGGCCGCGGCGGCGGCGCCTCCGAACGCCGCCGCCAACGCCGCGGCGCTGATGACCGGCTGAGGAGGAGGAGGAGGGTCGGGGTGCCCAGATTGAGGCGTCGTCGTCGCGGACGCGGGTGCGGACGCGGGCGCGGACGCGGGTGCGGACGCGGGCGCGGACGCGGGCGCGGGCGCGAACAGCGCCGCGAACGGGTTCGTCGCCGCCCCCCCCGCCGCTTCCGCGTCCGCGCCGCCGCCGCCCTCTCCGGCCGTCGCGCCCGCCGCGCCCGCGTCGTCCTCCCCGGGCTGTCGCTCGAGCATCGACAGCTCGATCGCCCTGGCCGTCTCCTCGTCGAGATCCATCGCCGTCGTCGCCGCGTCGTCTCCTCCGGGCGCGTCGTCGTCCGCGACGCGGCGCCGCTTCGTCGTGACGTCCTCGGCCCCAAGGGCGGGGGAGGACGCGCCGTCGCCGCCTTCCGCGGCGGCCGCCGCCGCGGCCGCTTCCTGCAGCGACATCGCTATCGCCTGGAGAGGGGAGAAGGGGGATCGCGCGTAAGATCTCGCGCGTCGCGTCGCGTCGTAACAATACCATCGCCATCGTCGGTCGACGCGAACGAAGCGACGCGCCGCGCGAACGCGGGCGCGCGCGGGTCGGTCGGGTCGGGGTCTCGCGCGCGCACCATCTGCAGGAGCTCGTCCTCGGTCTGCTCCTGGTCCCCGGACATCGTCCTTCTCGCGCGCGGAGGGGGGACGTCGTGTCGCGGCGCTCGCGCGTGTGCCCGCGATCGTCGTTCGACACCACTGTCAGATCCCGTCGACGCGACCAGACGTCGAGGACGATCGGACGCGGACGGCACGAGAATTCATTCATCGCGTTCATTCATTCATCGCCGGCGCAGCGCGGGCGCGCTCCCGGTGACGACGCCGCGATGTCCGGCCTCCTGTCCGGCGTGCGCATCGTCGCGAAGGAGGACGTGAAGAAGGATCTCAAGAGGGAGAAGAAGGAGCGCAAGAAGGAGCGCAAGAGGGAGCGCAAGAGGGCGAAGCGCGATGCAGGCGGAGGCGGAGGCGGCGCGCGCGATGACTCCGCGTCGTCAGACGACGGCGACGACGACGACGACGGCCCAAACGCCGCGCCTCGCGACGCCGCCGCGCCCGCCGCCTTGGACGCGCCCGCCGCGGACCATGGCAACCCGGACGACTGGATGGCCGCGGCGACGGGCGCGTCCAAGGCTCGAGATCCACGGAGCAGCGCGCAGATCGCGCGCGAGGCGGAGGCGGAGCGCCAGCGCGTCGTCGCGTCCGAGCGAGAGCTCAACCCGTTCTGGAAGGACGGCGGCGACGGCGTCAAGCCCGACGACGCCGATGCGCGAGGAAAGAACGCGCTGCTCGGCGCGGGGCAATCCGGCGGCGTCGGCGACGGAGGCGCGTCGTGGCGATTGAAGGCGCTTCGCCGCGCGAAAGAACGCGCGGAGGAGGAGGTGCGTTCTATACACTGGTTCCCATACGACCGCGTCGGCGTGGTGAACGCCGATCCTTAAGGACTTTTGCCGTCGTCTCTCTCCGCCCATCCCTCGCTTTCAATCCCCGCCATCGACGCCTTTCAACTCCAACTGACGCCTTTGAACTCCACCCCGACATCGCTTTGTATGGAATGACCCTGACAGGGCCGTTCGCTGCACGACGTCGTCGGCGACCGGTGGGGGAGCGTCGGCGCGCTCGTGGAGAGCATCGGGAAGGGTAATAAAGGCGTCGCGCACGACAGGGCGCACGTGCACGCGAAGAGAGAGAGAGGCGGCGGAGGAGGCGCGAGGGATGACGCGTGTTTTAAGTGCGGCGCGGCGGGGCATTTCGCGCGAGATTGCCCGGACGGCGGCGCGGGCGCGGGCGCGGGTGCGGGAACGATGAAACGGCCGCGCGGTGGGGGTTACGACGACGCGGATAAAGCCGGTAACGCCGGCGCGGGGAGGAGCTCGTCTTACTTGACCGAGATTGGCTCCGGCGCGGGCGGGCGCGGACGGATGCGAGCGCCGAGCGACGCGGGGACGACAAGAATCGGAAGAATCGGAAGAATCGGCGGCGGAAACGACAAAAAAGACAGGGGGCTGCGCGAGGAGGATAAGAGGCTGCTCGCGACCGCGTCCATGGCGGCGAACACGTTTCAGTCCGACGGGTCGTTCTTCGAGAGCGCGGCGAAGAAAGCGGCGGAGGCGGCGGGGATCGAACCGGCGTCGCGACCCGCGAAGCCGAAAGCGTTCGGGTGGACCCCCGGCGAGGCGACGGAGGGGTGGGGACAGCCCTCGGGCGGCGGGCGCGCTGGACCGAGCGGCGGCGGCGACGACGGCGGCGGCGGAGGGACGTATCTCAACGAGATCGTGTCCGAGGACGACGAGGACGACGTCCGAGGCGCCCCGCCCGCGGCGACGGAACGGGAACGGGAACGGCCGCCGCCGCCGCCGCCGCCGCCGCGACGCGTCGCGCCGCCCTCGAGAGAAGCCCGCGACGCCGCGCGCGACAACGCGGGTCGCGCGCCGACGACCGCGAACACGTCCGCGGCGGCGGCGTTGCGCGCGCGGCTCATGGGGAAGAAACCGGCGAACGCGGCGACGGCGAACGAGACGAACGAGACGAACGCGAACGCGACGGAGGAGTCTCTCCCGCTCGTCACCGCCGACGGAAGAGCCGCGCCCGGCGCGTTCGGTCGCGCGACGACGCTCGCCGGCGGCGTCCACGCCGCGGAGGGCGCGGTTCGGAAGCCGTCGAAGACGACGCAGCGGTACGACACGTCCGAAGCCGGCGGCGACGGGCGAAAGGCGAGGTACTACGCGGACGACGACGCCAAGAGCCTCGCGGACCTCGTCGCCGCGGAGCGTCACGGCGCCGGCGAGAGCTACGACGAAAACCTCGCGCGAAACATCACGCGCAAGGGCGCGCGGTATAAAGCGCTGGGCACCGAGCGCGAGCGCGATAACGCGGTGGACGACGAGTACGACAACGACGCGGGGTTGGAGATGTACGAGAGCCGGGATTCGAAAAAGTCCGACGCGGAGCGGCAGCGTCGCGCCAAGGAGCGCGCGGTGCGCGAGTACCAAATTTCGCAAAAACGGCTGTCGAAGTGCCAGTACTGCTTGGAAGCTCCGGACCGCCCGAAGCACCTGCACGTCGCGTACGGTAACCTCGCGTACCTGATGTTACCGATGAGCGGGCGGCTCGTCCCCGGACACTGCGTCATCGCGCCGATCGGCCACGTCCCGAGCTCTCGCGCGTGCGACGAAGACGTCTTCGAAGAGATGCGAAACTTTAAAAAGTGCCTCGTTCGAATGTTCGCGAGTCAAGGGAAAGGGTGCGTCTTTTACGAGACCGTGACGCGGCTCGGCGGTTCCGGCGTCGTCGGCGCCGCCGCGAGCTCGCACGCTTTCATCGAGTGCGTCCCGATACCGGACGCGCGCGTCGACGACGCGTCGATGTACTTCAAGAAGGCGATAGACGAGGCGGAGAGCGAGTGGAGCGTGCACGACGCGAAAAAGTGCATCTCGACCGCGCCGCCGCGGGGATTACGCGGCGCGATACCGCCAAACTTTCCGTACTTCCACGTCGAGTTCGGCATGCGCGGCGGGTACGTGCACGTGATCGACGACGAGAGCAGGTGGCGCGTGGATTTGCCGAGGGACGTTCTCGTCGGCCTGTTGGATCTACCGGAGAATGTCAGCCGAGCGAAGCGACGGCCGCTGGCGCCGCCGGCGTTGAAGCGCGAGATGGACGCGTTTCTGGACGCGTGGGATCCGGTGGACTGGACGAAGCAGCTCGCGTAGGTAGATGTAGTATGCGGCGCGGCGTCGCGTCGTTCGCGGAGCGGCGCGACGACCGACGACTCGTCTGTGATGTCGACTGAATAAAAGACCGCGTTCGAGTTCGTCGAGTGGTGAAAAGTTAGTCACGTTCGTTACAAAATGATAGTACGTGTACGATTCATCGTCTGTCGATCGGTCGTCGGCCGTCGCGCACGATGATCTCGTTTTATATCGCGTTTTTGTGTTCGCGTTCGTTCGTTCGTCTTCTTTCGTCTTCCGGCGGCGGCGGCGGCGTCGTCGTCGTCGTCGGCGTCGCGTCTCCTGCGTGTCTCCTAAAGTCCTTAAGGAATGAAGTTCACAACGCGAACGCGGTCGTAAGGGGACCAGTGTAGTACCTCACGCGTGTCTCGGCGTCCCGAGGTCCGCGTCCGCCACCGCCGCGACGTAGCCACCCAGCCCGAACCTCCCCGCCTCCTCCGCGGCGACCAACCTCGCGCGGTGATCCGCGTCGCCCACGCCGTCGTCCTCCGCGATGATGCCGTGCTTCGCGCCGAGCGTCCGCTTCTTTCCCGGCTTTTTCGATCCCCCGCCGCCGCTCGCGTCGTCGCCGCCGCCGCCCGTCCCGGTGCCCTTCCCCCCCCCCTTTTCTTTTGCCCCCGCCGCGCCGCCCGCGATCTTGGCCCACTCCTTCCCTAAACCCCGTATCGACGGCCTGGACGCCTTCAGCTTCTTCGCCGACTCCTCCAGGGTATCGAACGTCCCGAGGTACTCGTGAATTCCCGGCTTGACGCGCACGAACGTCGCGTATTTTTTTCCCCCCCCGGCGCCCCCCGCGATCGCCGCCGAGTTCGTCGCGACGACTTCGACGCCGCCCGGGACCGCCGGCAGCTCCCCGATCGCGAGCTTCGCCGCCTCCTCGTGCGTCAACTCCTTCACGCCCTTGAGGACGTCGCACGCGACGCCGATCGCGGCTAAGCTTTGGGTATCGATCAGATCGCCCGTCGCCTCCACGCGGTTCACGCAGTACCCCGCCCGTCTCGCGGCGGCGTCGTACGCCCGCATCGCCGACCGCGCGTCGGGGAAACGTCCCAGCTGCATGCGTTTATCATTCCCGCGGACCTTAATCCGCGCTTCGTACGACCCCTTGCCCTTGAGGCGCACGCCCTTGATCCCGGTCGCCGTCGCCTTCCCCTCTTTGACCGCGACGACGGCGGCGCCTCCGTCGCCGCCGCCGTCGCCGACGGCGGCGGCGACGAGCGCCGCTTCGCTCTCGCCGTTCGGTCCCACGATCGCGAGCTCGAGCGACGCGACGCCCTCTCTCTTCGTCGGCCGTCCCGCGCCCGCGCCCTTGCGCGGCGGCGGGGGGTCGGCGGGCGGCGGCGCGGACGCGTCGGCTCCTCCGTTTCCGACGCCTTCCGCCGTCTCCGCATCCGTGGGGAAGTTTAGCAGATCCGCGCTGACCCCGAGCTCCCGCGCGGCGACGTCGTACGCCCTCGCCGCGAGCTCCGCGGTCTCGTAGTACCCCAACGCTCTCTGTCGCCCGTCGCCGGTGTTGGACGTGATCCGCGCGCGGAACTTTTTGCTCACGCCGTGGAACGCGACGCCTCTGATGAGGGTCGTTCCATACGAAGCGACGTCGGGGTGGAGTTCAAAGGCGTCAGAAGCGGAGTTGAAAGGCGTCGAGGTGTGTCGGGATTGAAAGCGAGGGACCCTAGGCGGAGAGATGCGCCGGCAAAAGTCCTTAATGATCGGCGTCCACCTCGCCAACGGGGTCGTATGGGGACAGGTGTATAGAACGCGCCTGAAGCCGGACTTGCCGATCTTTCTCCGCGCGTTCCTTCCCGGACCGGCGTTGCTGGACGCGCCGGCCCCGACGCCGCTTCTGCGGTCGCCGGTTCCGACGACGAGCGCGCCCGCCTTGCGCTTCGCTCCCGCCGCGGTCTGCGCGGACGCGCCGATCGCGTCGGAACCGCCGCGATCGCCCTCCGCGTCGGCGACGGTACCTCGTCCGCCTCCCCCACCTTTATCGTGCGAACGCGATTCGCCCCCCGCGGTCGCCGCGCCGTTGAGGTGGAGGTGCGAGATCGGCACGTCCCCGGAGCTCGACATGATCGGCGATCACTCACGAACGCGCGGAGGCGTCCACGCGAACACGACGACGACGCGCGCGCGCGCTCGGAGCTGCGCACGACGGGTGTGGCGCGCGAGGAAGCGGCGACCCTCCTTGCCTACATCTTCGCAGCATCTTCACGGCCCCTCTTCACGTGTGGCACGCACCGAACAAAACCAACTGCAACTTTTTCCAGACTAAAAGGTCAAATGTTGAGGTGATATTTGACCGAGAGGGCCGCGATGAGTTGACCTTTCGACGTGTGTACGACAATCGTCCAAGCTGAGTCACTACAGCCGCATAGGGCTACGATACGTACGGTGCCGCATAACGTGATTCATCAGTTGAAAGGGACCCACGCGATCAAATGTTGAAACTGAGCGGTGGGTGAAAAACGTTTGCTTTGAACGACGGAAAACAAGTCAAAAGACACGCCCGTCCCACTGCCGCGACGCCGTCAGATTCCACTCGCGCCGACTCCGCCGCGCGCGCCGGCGTTCGTTCGTTCGAGCGAGCGAGTCCGGCGGCATGGGGGCGAAGCGCGGGAGAGACGACGACGACGCGGAGGCGTCGTTCCCTCGCGGCGGCGGCGGCGGCGGCGGCGGCGGCGACGTCGCGTCTCGCGGCGGAGGAGGGAACGACGATGGCGGCTCGCGGAGAGCGCCGCGCGCGGCGTCGCGCGGCGGCGGCGGAGCACGCAAGCGAGGGCGGACGTCCGGCGGCGACGACGACGACGCGGTGCGTCCTCGCGACGACGCTCGCGCCGTCGCACCCGCGACGACGATCGCGCGCAGCGCAATTTTCGATCCCCGACGCGCGCGCGTCTCGACCCGTCGTCGTCGCGCGCCGTCGGCGCGTCGCCGCCTTTTTGCGTCGTCCTCTGAATGAAATCGAAATCCAGCCGTCCATCCATCCGACCCGAGCGGAGGAGGAGTCCTTAAGGATCGGCGTTCACATCGCCGACGCGGTCGTATGGGGACCAGTGTGATACTAGCATCCGACCCGACCGTCGCCCTGATCCCCCCTCCCTCCCTCCCTCCTCTCCTCCTCCCACCCGTCCACCGATCACGCAGGCGTTCTCCTACGGCGTCGCGAAGTCCATCGCGGGCGAGCGCACGTTCGTCGAGCTCCTGCGTCACAAGACGCTCAGGGTCGGGACGAAGCTGATGGGCGTCGTCGTCGACGTGAACGACGCGGGGATGTCGTTATCGCTGCCGAACGGTCTGCGAGGGAGCGTCACGCGCGCGGAGGCCTCCGACGCGTTCGTCGCCGCGAAGAAGAAGAAGAAGACGACGAAGATGACGAAGATGAAGAAGAAGACCGCCGATTCCTCCGAGTCCGAGTCAGAGTCAGAGTCAGAGTCCGACGAGTCAGACTCCGACGACGACGACGAAGCGCTGACGAACGCCGAGCCGCTCGCCGCTTTATTCAAAGTCGGCCAGATCCTCCGCGCCGTCGTCGTCCGCTCCGGCAAAGGCAAGAGCGGCGGCAAACGCATCGACCTCTCCACGCGGCTGTCGAGGGTATGCGACGGCGTCGCGAAAGACGCGCTCGTCGACGGCGCCGCGGTCCCGGCGTGCGTGACGGGGGTAGAGGCGCACGGGTTCGTGTTGAACTTTGGGATCGACGACGCGCCGATCGGGTTCTTGCCGCGGAAGTCCGTGCGCGCGGAGATGGCGTCGTCGCTCGCGAGAGGGGCGATACTGGACGTCGTGATCAACGCGGTGAGACTGCTTCCCATACGACCCCGTTCGCGATGTGAACGCCGTTCCTTAAGGACTTTCCCCGTCGTCACTCTTCACCCGCGCTTCCCTTTCAACGTTTGACCGGTAAGACGTTCGACTGACCGATCACTTCACCCCGCCACCCACGATCGACCCTCTTTGACCCTACAGAGCGCGGGTCCCGGCGGGGACGGAGGAAACGGGGAAGACGGCGGCGGAAAAGAGAAGAAGAGAGCCCTCGTAACCAACTCCAGGGTCGTGCAGTGCACCGCGGACGCGAAGCGCGTGTCGAGCGCGGTGACGCGAGAGAGCGACTACACCTCGATGCAGTCGTTGCTCCCTGGGATGCTCGTGAACGCACGCGTGAGGGCCGTTTTGTCAGACGGTATCTCCGTGAACTTCATGACGTACTTCACCGCGACGATCGACGCGTTTCACCTCGGGGACGGGAAAGGGACGGACGGCAAGCACCTTAACGGCCCGACTCCGGACGTTTCGAAGACGCACAAAGTCGGCGATCGCTGCCGCGCGCGCGTCTTATTCGTCGACGCGGACGCGAAGCGGATCGGGCTCACGCTCCGACCGCACCTCGTGTCCCCCCAGGCGGTATCGGTTCAGGTGCGTTCTATACACTGGTTCCCATACGACCGCGTTGGCGTGGTGAACGCCGTTCCTTAAGGACTTTGCCCGGCGCATCTCTCCGCCCACCCCTCGCTTTCAATCCCCGCCATCGACGCCTTTCAACTCCATCTGACGCCTTTCAACTCCACCCCGACTTTCGCTCGTATGGAACGGCCCTCAGCCGTCTTCGACCGAGACTGGCGGCGATCCCCTCTCGCACTTGAACCTGCCGAAACCTGGGACCTCGTACGACGCCGCGATCGTTCGACGCGTGGACGCGAACGTCGGCGTCTTGCTCGAGCTTCCGCCGTCCGGCGCGGCGGCCGCGCCCACAGACGATGAGAGTCGTATGGGCAAACAGTCTTATTCGCCGCCGAAAGGCGCGTGCTTGGGATACGTGCACATCTCCGACGCGACGGACGATCACATCGAGCGTTTGGAGAAGAAGTTCAAGGTGGGCGCGACCGTCCGCGCGCGCGTGATCGGCCGGCGCGTCGTCGACGGCGTCGCGACGGCGTCGTGTAAGAAAACGGTCGTCGAGCAGCCGTTTCTCTCGCTCGACGAGCTGACGCCCGGGATGAAAGTGAAGGGCGAGGTGGTCGCCGTCGAACCCTACGGCGCGGTGATCAAGCTCGCGCCCGGGGTCAAGGCGCTGCTGCCGCCGCATCACGTCAGCGACATCCCGGGGCGCACGACGAACGCCAAGGTTTGTCCGGGCGCGCGCCTGAACTTCCGCGTGCTCTCCGTGGACGTCGCGCGATCCAGAGCCACGGTGACGCGGAAGAAGACGATCCTCAACAGCGATCTGGACGTAATCGCGACGATGGAGGACGCGACGCGCGCGGGCGGGGCGACGACGCACGGCGTCGTCACCGGCGTCGAGCCGTACGGCGTTTTCGTGTCTCTGTACGGCGCGCTTCGCGGCCTCGCGGGCGCGCAAGATTTGGGCCTCGCCCCGGGGCAGACGCCGACGGAGGCGTTTCAAGTCGGGCAGTGCGTCCGAGCGCGCGTGATTCGCGCGGATAACGGTCCGGGGAAGCTGAAGCTATCGTTAGCGCCGGGCGGATCTGGCGACGGAGTTGTTTTACACGACGACGAGGGCGGCGGCGGCGGCGGCGGCGGCCGGTTGGACGACGTCGGCGCGCCGCCGCCCGGGACGATAATCGAGTCCGCCGTCGTCAAGCGCGTCGACGCCGACACCGGGAACGTCCTCGTGACCCTCCCCGGCGGCGTCCCCGGCGTGATCACCGCCGCGCACGTGAGCGATCACCCCGTCACCGGCGCCGCGCTCGTCGCGACGTACGCGCCGGACGACGCGATCGGCCCGCTCGTCGCGCTCGAGGCGAAGCCGCGTCGGTCGATTTTGTCGCGGAAGACGTCGCTCGTGACGGCGGCGCGGAGCGACGCGCTTCCGGCGAGCGTCGCCGACGTCGTCGTCGGCGCGTCGTACCCCGGGTACGTCGCCAGCGCGACGCAGAACGCGGGGGTGTTCGTGCGGTTCCTCGGGCGCCTCACCGGGCTCGCGCCGCCGTCGCAGCTCGTCCCGGGCGCGCGAGGCGGTGACGCGGACCCGGAGGAGTGCTTCGCGCCGGGGCAGAGCGTCCGCGCGCGCGTCACCGCGGTGGACGCGACGGTTGACCCGCCGCGTTTGAGCCTCTCGCTGATCGGAACGGGATTCGGCGGGGGTAAGGGTGGTAAAGGAGGGAAAGGAGGGAAAGACGCTGCGATGATAGAGACGACCGCGGAGGCGGCGCTGGTGACGTCGTTGTTCGCGGACGTGGACGCCGCGGACGCGATCGCGGACGCGAGGGCGGCGGCGGGCGACGGCGGCGACGACGGCGGCGGCGGCGGCGACGGCGGCGACGACGAGGACGGCGGCGGCGCGTTACTCTCCGCGGAACTCACCGCGTCGAAGCTCGCGCCCGGGTCGTCCATCTCGTGCGTCGTGCACGCGACCCGGGAGTACGGCGTGTTGATGGACGTCCCGGACGTCGACTCCGATCTCGTCGCGCTGATGGCGTTCCACCAGACGCCCGCCGCCGCCGACGACGACGACGACGACGCCGCGCCGCCGCCGGACGAGGGAACGAAAGTGAACGGCGTCGTCTTGGACGTGAGCCGCCGCGACGGCGTCGTCGACGTCGGCGCGAGGCCCGGGTTGCTTGCGATGATGAAGCCCGGGCCGTCGCCGAAGAAGACGCGGTCGAAGAAGACGCGCGGCGGCGGCGGCGGCGACGCGTCGACGACGTACCTCCCGCCGCCGCGGCCCAAAAAAGGCACCGAGACGGTCGCCGTCGTCGAACTCGTCAAACCCGAGTACGTCGTGTTGTCGCTCCCGAAGCACGGCGGCGCGATCGGGTACTGCGCCGCGCGGAGCGTGAACGGGTTCGGGTACGAGGACGTCGGCGCGAGGTGGACGCGCGGGGAAGAGGTGGACGTCGTCGTCGTCGCGAGCGATTCAAAATCAAAGTCGTCGCGACTTTTGCTGGCGGCGACGGCTGCCGACGCGACGGCGACGACCGACCGCGCGGACGGCGGCGCGACGCCCCCGGGCCGCCCCGCGACCGCGACAACGCCGCCGGGGACGACGCTCCGCGGCGTCGTCAGAGAGGTGCAGGGCACGACGCAGGTCATCGTGGACTTGCCGAGCGGCAGCAGAGGGCGCCTGCACGCGACGGAGGTGGCTCAGACGTTGAGCGCGAAGCGGCCGCTGAGCGCGCACTTCGCGGTCGGCGCCGGCGTCGACGTCGTCGTCCTCGGCCCCGCCGGGGATAAGGGCGGGTCCATGCTCGAGCTTTCGACGCGCCGCGGCGTCGAGGACGCGAAGAAGCTCTTCGCCGCGGCTGTCGACGCGGGCGGCGGCGACGGCGCCGGCGCCGGCGTCGCCGGCACCGCGCTGCTCGCGACGGCGTCCCCGGGCGACGTGATCGCGCCCGCCGTCGTCGCCGCGGTGTCGAGCGACACGCTCGCCGTCTCGCTCGCGCCGGGGGTGACGTGCAGGATCCCGAGGGTCGAGACCGGCGACAGCGCGAGCGTTTTGAAACGGCCGTTGACGGAACGTTTCGCCGTCGGCGAGACGATCGAAGGCGGCGTCGCGATGGTCGCCGGCGACGTCGCGCGACGCAAGGCGATCGTGACGTTGCGCGCGGCGAAGAAGCGCGACGTCGTCGCGGGCGCGAAGCTCGGTGGGATCGTGACCAAGGTGCTGTCGCACGGCGGCGGCGTGTTCGTGCAGCTGAACGGTCGCCAGCGCGGCCGCGTCCACGTCACGGATCTGAGCGACGCGCCAGGGTCCGCGGAGTCCCAAGGGGAGCCTTGGAAAAAATACGCCCCCGGCGACGCGGTCGACGTCCGCGTGCTTCGCGTGGACGAGGACGACGGCGAGATCGACCTGTCGACGCGCGCGTCGGATATGAAACGCGCGCGCACGGGCCGTTACGATAAACTCGCGATCGAGACGTGCGACCAGCTCACCCCCGGGACGAAAGTCGCCGGGTTCGTGAAGCAGTGCACCAAGGGCGGCTGCTTCGTCGCGCTCGGACGCACCGTCGACGCGAGAGTGAAGCTGTGCAACCTCTCGAACGAGTTCGTGGACGACCCACCCAAGGCGTTCCCGAAGGGCGCGCTCGTGACCGGGACCGTGCTGAGCGTCGACGCGGAGAACGAGCGGGTGGAGATTACCCTCCGCGCGGACGGCGGCGACGGCGGCGGCGCCGCCGCCGTGAACGCGCCGCCGACGGGCGACGCCCCAGACGAGGGCGCCGTGCTCATGGGCACCGTCCGCAGGGTCCAAACCTACGGCGTGTTCGTGACGTTGGACGATTGCGGCGGCAGGAGCGGGTTGTGTCACATAAGCGCGTTCGCGGACGCGAGGATCGACGACGGGTTGGACGCGCACGTCCGCGCGGGCGAACGCGTTCGAGTGAAAGGCGCGTTCTATCTCACACTGGTCCCCATACGACCGCGTTGGCGTGGTGAACGCCGATCCTTAAGGACTTTTCCCGGCGTGTCTCTCCGCCCACCCCTCGGTTTCAATACCCGCCCTCGACGCCTTTCAAATCCATCTGACGCCTTTGAACTCCACCCCGACGTTCGCTCGTATGGAACGACCCAAAGTCTTGAAAGTGGAGGTTGACACCGGCCGCATATCGCTCGGGATGAAGCCGAGTCTGTTCACAGCGAGCGACGACGAGATGGACGTGGACGACGTGGACGACGCGGGGGCCGGCGCGGGGGGGAGGAAGAAGAACGTCGCGACGGAGGATCCGCTGATGGTGAACGACGACGACGAGGAGGAGATGGAAGGCTGGGGTGGCGGGGACGATTCGGAAGACGACTCCGACGACGACGAGGAGGAGGAGGAGGAGGAGGAGGAGGAGGAGGAAGAGGACGACGACGAGCGAGACCCGCTCGCCGCGTCTGATTCCGACGACGACGACGACGACGACGACGACGCGTCGGAGCCCGAGTCCGATGAGATGGACGTCGACGACGAGCCCGACGCAGCCGCGGCGTCGGCGTCGGACTCCGAGGACGACGAAGACTCGGACGAAGACTCCGAAGACTCGGACGAAGACTCCGAAGACTCCGAAGACTCCGACTCGGACGGCGACGACGCCGGGAAGAAGAAACTCCTCGACGACGACGTCGGTCTCGACTGGGACGCCGACGACGCGAAGAAGACCTCCTCTTCCGCCGCCGCCGCCGCCTCCGCCGACGACAACGAGAAGCCCAAGTCGAAGCGCGAAAAGGCGAGAGAAAAAGCCAATCGAGAGATGGAACTCCACCGGAAAGAGCAAGCGCTCCGCGACGCCGCGGACCGCGCGCCCGAGACCGCGGCGGAGTACGAAAAGCTCATCATGCAGACGCCGCGATCGTCGTACGCGTGGCTAAAGTTCGTCGCGTTCCACGTCTCGGTGGGCGCGTACGACGACGCGCGCGCGTGCCTCGAGCGCGCGTTGAAAGCCATCCCGGCGTCGGAGGAGGAGGAACGCATGAATATTTGGATCGCGTACTTGAACCTCGAGAATAAGCACGGGAAGCCGTCGCCGGTGGAGGCGACCGAGCGGACGTTCAAGCGCGCGTGCCAGGTGGCGAACCCGAAGAAGTTGCATCTGACGCTGGCGGGCGTGCACGAGCGCTCCGGGAACGACGCGAACGCGCGGCGGGTGCTCGCGGAGGCGGTGAAGAAATTTTCTCAGGCGCGTTCTAGTATCACACTGGTCCCCATACGACCGCGTTGGCGTGGTGAACGCCGATCCTTAAGGACTTTTCCCGGCGTGTCTCTCCGCCCACCCCTCGCTTTCAATACCCGCCCTCGACGCCTTTCAACGCCAACTGACGCCTTTCGACTCCACCCCGACATTCGCTTTGTATGGACAATTACCCTCAGAGCGCGAAAGTGTGGCTCGCGCACGTCCGAGCGGCGATCCTGTCGCTCGACGCCGCCAACCCCGGCACCGGCACCGGCGGCGGCGCGGTCGACGCGGACGTCGTGAAGCGAGCGCTCGACCGCGCGACGCAGGCGCTGCCGAAGCGAAAGCACGTCAAGCTGATGGTGCAGACGGCGTTGTGCGAATTTCGGGAGGGGCGGCCGGAGCGCGGGCGGACGATGTTCGAGAGCATCTTGCGGAATTATCCGCGGCGGACGGACATCTGGAGCACGTACGTGGACCAGGAGATCAAGTGCGGGGACGACGACCGCACGCGCGGGCTCTTGGAGCGCGCGACGCACTTGGAGCTGACCCCGAAGAGCATGAAGTTTTTGTTCAAAAAGTTTTTGGATTTCGAGCGAAAGCGCGGGAACAAGGAGAAAGTGGAAAAGGTGAAGCGGATGGCGATGGACTACGTCGCGGAAAAGTTTGGCACCGCGTGAGCGCGCTTTGCTTTTAGACGACGCGAGACGAGAAGAGCGCGGCGTTCGTTAATTTGAGAATACGAGTAGCGTCATCGTGATCATCACCCTTCAGAATCACTGGAAGTATCATGGTAGCCGTAGTCCGACCTTAGCTCCGAACCTTTGTATTTGTCACCGTCGTCATTGAGAATCGCAGGTGAAGGTCCCAAGGCTGCCTCAAAGGCTGCCTCTATTAATTGATCAAAATCACCGGTTTCATGATAACCCATAATCATGCTTATTTCTTTCCTATACCCATCATAAAGAGGAGGGTCGTCGTCGTCGGTGTGAGAGAACCTCTGGTCGAGATCGTCAATCTCGCCTTCGTCGTCGTCCCACGCGCGATCCTCGACGTCGGGGAACTCGCGATCGTCGAGAATCTCGTGGACGAATCTCGGGCTCGCGGGTTGAAAGAGCTTGCAGAGGAACGATGCGTAGCCTCTGATTTCGTCCGCCTTGCCTTTTCGCACGTCCTTCTTCACCCTGTCTTCGTACATGCTCGCGAGCGATGGCAAAGCGTCTTCGTCGGGTCCCCGACGCGCGTTCGCGACGTCCAAAAGCGTCTGCGCGACGGCCCACTCCTCCGGGCGTTTCGCTCGAAAATCTTCAACGTCGCCGATCGCGCCAACGGTGTCCTCGTTCCAATTGTCCGCGTCCCTGATGAGCAAACCGACGCAGAAGCGCACGTCGAACGGGAAGTTCTGCTCTTCCACGAGCCATCGAAGGACGGGCAGGGCGTTGCCCGCGGCGGCCATCTTGCAAAGTTCGGCTTTCTGTTTAAAAGCGTATCGCGTCAACAGGAACTTCGCGCACTCGAGCCTACCGTTCGCGACCGCGAGCGCGATGACGTGCTTATGCCACTTCCTTCCCACGTCGACGTTGAAGCCGGATTTGCGCCCATACCCCCGCCCATAGTTATCATTCGCCAACATATTCCAGTAATTCCGGCCGGGCGCCTTCGACACGATGTATCGCAGAATCTCCGCGCGCCCAAACTGCGCGGCTATCCTCGCGCTCGGGAGGAGGTTGAACCTCCCCTTGCTCTGCTCGCACACCCACTCGAAGACCTCCTGGTGTCCGCGTTGCGCCGCTTTGAACGGCGTCCAGAAATCCCAGGGCACCGCGTCGTCGTCCTTTTTGCATTCCTCGCGCGCGAATTTCAGCACGCGCAAGTGACCGCCCGTCGCGGCGTCCGCGCAGATGGACGGCCAGTCCCACACGTCGTCGTCGTCGCATACCTCCTCTCGAATCCATCTCAGAACGTGCAGGTGGCCGCGCTTCGCCGCGGCGAACATCGGGCACGCTATTCCGTAGTCGTTTCCCGTGGTGTCCTCCCACGAGCATCCGTTTTCCGTCGCCCACTTCAAAATCTCGAGGTGCCCCCCGTCCGCCGCCTGCGATTGGTTGAATGCATACACGTGTCAGTCACAGATTGGATAGCATTCCCGCGCGTCAAACGATAACGGGGTCGTAATATGGAAGCGGTCGTCAGGCGTCGAGGCGTCTCACCGCGGTCGGCGTGCGGAAATCCCACGGAAACCCCTTCTCTCGGCACCACTGAAGCGTTTCCAGGCAACCCCCGCGCGCAGCCTGCGCGCACGTCTCCTCGTTCCCTATATTCACGAGCCCTTCGTTCCACAGCCACTGCAGCGTCTCGAAGCTCCCTCGAGCCGCGTACGAACACACGTCCTCGTCCCACGGGCACCCGCGCTCGCGCAACCACCGCAGCACGCGAACTTGCCCCGCTCTCGCCGCGAACGCGGACATGTGATGGTCCCAATTCACACGATGCATCGCGTACTCGAGAAATTCGAGATGCCCGCCCTCCGCGGCGGCGGCGCAGACGTCCCAGGCGCGAAACTCGGCGTCGTCGACGCAGCTCGCGTGCCGATCCCACTCTACGAGGTGCTCCTCTTGCCATTCTATACGAGCGAACAGAACGTCGGGGCCCGCGGAGTTGAAAGGCGTCAGAAGCGGAGTTGAAAGGCGTCGAGGTGTGTCGGGATTGAAAGCGGGGGACCCTGGGCGGAGAGAGACGCCGGGAGATAAAGTCCTTAAGAAACGGCGTTCACCACGCGAACGCGGTCGTATGGGGACCAGTGTGAAGACACTCGAACGCGCCTTCTGGCGGCACCCGCCAGCGCGGATGATTCTTCCGCCCGACCACCTTCTCCACGTGCGCGTCGAGCGTCCTCCCCCCCGGCCCCGGCGTTTGGGGCTTCTCCTCGCAGCACCACCTGAACACGGCGAGGTGGTTCCCGCGCGCGAGATTCAGCGCGGTCTTGACGCCCCACGGTATCTTCCCCTCCGTCCGCGCGAACCTCATGACGTCCAGCGAGCCGACGTCCGCGATGATGTCGCAGACGCGATCGTTCCACGGGCATCTGTTCAATCGCGCCCATCGCATCCGCGCGACGGAGCTGGCGTGCGCGCGCACGCGGAGCGGCACGCCGTCATTCCCCGCGCGCGGGAGGCGCGACGCGTCCGCGACGTCGCGACACGCGGCGCTGACGCGAGCGAAGACGCCGCGGTCGTCCGCGTCCAAGGCGCCGCCGTCGAGGACGTGCGTCGCGAACACGTCCGTGGCGCCGCGGCGTTTGAGGAAGTCGAGGAACGCGCACGACGACGACGACGACGCGTCTGCGACAGCTGTCCACGCGTCGAATTCGAGGTTGCCATCGTCGTCGTCGCGCATCGTCGCGGCGCGCTTCACGCGCGGATCTCAATGAGCGGCGTGTTGTATCTTATTTTTTTCCCGCCATCATCTCGACGACGACAGCTGTCCATCTCGGACGGACCGCGCCGGTCCACAGACGAGCGACGCCCGGCGGGGCGGCGTCGGAGCGTCGTCGCGCGCGTCGGAGGCGCGTCATCATGGCGACCGCCGCATCGCTCCCCTCCTCCGCCGCGTCCGCGTCCGACGCCGTCTCCTCGCAACTCGTCGCGGTGACGGAAGCGATCGCGCTCATGCCGTCCGGAGTCCTCGCGTCCTCCGTCGAGCACGTCCTCTCTCCGATCTTGAGCGCGCTGCGGAGGGAGTGCGACGCGATGGCCGCGACGGCGGCGGCGGCGACGGACGCGACGCCGACGACGACGGACGCGACGGCGGCGGGGATCGAACCGCCGGCGGGAGAGAGGACGACGGCGAAGCAGCGCGCGGCGTCGTCGCGCGCGCTCGAGGAGGCGGTCCGATCGATTGGGGCCATCGCGACGCGCGCGGGGACGTGCGGCGACGACGCGCACGCGCTGACGGTGTTCTGCGACATCGTCGCCGCGATGGCGACGACGCCCGCGCGGGCCGGGAGCGGGGGCGACGCGGACGGTCGGGGTCCCGGTGGGGAGGACCTGAGGGCCGCGTCCATCGAGACGCTCCGAGCGGTGATTCGATCGATGGCGACGACGACGACGACGGTCACGGCTCCCGAGCTGTCGCCGTCGTCGTCGTCCTCGTCGAGCCCTCGCCCTCTATCGGGGAGCCGGAGCCAAGCCTTCCGCACGCTGACGTCGGACGCCGCGCTTCCCGCGCTCGGGTACGCCGTCTCCTGCCTCCTCGACGCGGAACGCGCGGAGGCTGCCAAGGGCGCGCTCGGCAGCCGCGCGATCCGCGCGGACGCGCTGCGTTGCCTCGGCGAGCTCGTCTCCGCGATCGACGACGCCGACGCGTTGGCATTTTTCTTGCCCGGCGTCGTCAGCGGTCTGACGAGGGCGCTCGTCGCGAGCGCGGGGTCGCGTCCGGGGCACGGCAGCGGCGTCGTCGCGGTCGTCGGGGACGCGAACGCGACGGAGGCTGCGATCGAGGCGCTCGCGGCTGTCGTGGTGATCGTGATGAACGACGACGCGTGCGGTGGATTAGTATCGGCGAGGAGGAGGAGGGGGGCAGCAGGGGGAGGAGCCGCGGACGACGACGACGACGCGGAGGCGGAGGCGGCGTCGACCGCGGCGGCGTTGCGGAAACTCGCGGCGCGGGGGGAACGATCGCGATCGCGATCGCGATCGCGCGGCGACGGCGACGACGACGACGAAGAGGAAGAATCAGAAGAAGGAGAATCAGAAGAAGAGGAAGGACCGAGCGCCGCCGGCGGCGACGGGCGATCGCTGAAGCTGCGACGCACGCGGAGGTGGCTCAGAGAGACGTCCCAAAGGGTCACCGACGCGACGCGCGTGTCGCTGTCGTCGCTCGTGAGCCACGACAAGCCGTCCGTCCGCGCCGCGGTCGCGTCCGCGGCGTCGTCGATCGCGCACAGGTGCGTTCTATCTCACACTGGTTCCCATACGACCCCGTCGCCGTGGTGGACGCCGATCCTTAAGGACTTTGCCCGGCGCGTCTCTCCGCCCACCCCTCGCTTTCAATCCCCGCCCTCGGCGCCTTTCAACTCCGCTTCTGACGCCTTTGAACTCCACCCCGACGTTCGCTCGTATAGATGCCGCGCGACGCTCCCCAGATTGACGCGGCCGCTTCTCGAGGCGACGTTGACCCTGGCGGGCGACCCTTGGTTGGACGTCTCATCGGTCGCGCGGGATGGGTTGAACGCTCTGACTTCGAGCGGGCAGATCGATCACGACACCCTGCGCGACGTCATCAAAGACGGGTTCGCGGAGCTGCCGAGGGCGGTTCGACGCGCGGGCGGCGGCGGCGGCGGCGGCGGCGGCGGCGGGTCGGATGAAAATAGAAACGCCGCCGCCGCCGCGCGCGCGACGGCGCGGCGCCTCATCGCCGCGATGCGTGCGCTCGGCCCCGACGGCGTCTCCAGAGCGCTCTTGACGCAGCACGCGCTTCGGACGTCCGTCGCGAGCGCGTTCACGCGGTGTTTCGCGGTGTCCGCGGACTTCTCGTCCGTCGCGGGGGACGACGAAGTCCGCGGCGCGCTTGAGGTGCGTTCTCCTTACACTGGTCTCCATACGACCGCGTTCGCGTGGTGAACGCCGTTCCTTAAGGACTTTATCTCCCGGCGTTCGTCTCTCTCCGCCCAGGGTCCCTCGGTTTCAATCCCGACACACCTCGACGCCTTTCAACTCCGCTTCTGACGCCTTTCAACTCCACCCCGATATCATCGCTCGTATAGAACGACCCTGAGTCCTCCGCCCGCGCCGCTCGAGGCGGCGCGTCCGCCGCCTCGAGCGGCGCGCTACCGACGCTCCCGCGCCGCCCTGGTCGTCTGCTCCACCTCGCGCGCGACCACGAGACGTACGCCGCGGTCGCGGACGTCGCGCGCGTCGTCGGCTCGCACGTCGAATCGCTGCCGGCGACGACGGA